ACTTTATATAAGGCATTTTAAACCCATCCCACAGGCCCACACTCTTGCAATATTCTAAACAATGTTTCTAAACTCTAAAAAAAAAAAAAGCTCTAAAAGAGCACAGCATGTCATGATCTCCGCTCTCTGCCTCCTGCTGCACTCTGCTATCGCTCTCGGCCACACCCACTTCTCCGCTGCAGAACGGAGATATGACACACTGCAGGAGGAAGCTTCTCCCGCAAGCTGTTGGATGCACTCAGGTGCTGAATAATTTAAAATAATTTATTTTAAATAAAACATGCTGATTGTGCAGCTAATCCATCAGTCAGCCAATTGTATGTTATGTCAAATCTTATTTTGAAAAGCCACGTTAGAGCGAGTCCGCGAAAAATGAACCGCGAAGTAACGAGGGACTACTATACTAAGTTTGAAAACCAAACCTATAAGCTTACTGTCACAGTTAAAAGTTTTAAATATTAATTTCCAAAATGGCTAAAAACAATTGTACGCTCACCCCTCCAGGAGTGCTTTCAGTTCATTCTCCCAGCGCTGCCGCACGCCATCGACCTCCTTCGGGACGCAGTGGTGAAGGTAAAAGAGGCCGCAGACGAGCTGGAGGACTTGCCTTCGCCACCGCCGCCCCTCTCCCCGCCTCCCAACAGTTCACCACGCCGGCAGACAGAAGACAAAGGTGTGCAATGTGAGGAGGAGGATGAGGAGAAGAAGGACAGCGGCGTGGCGTCTACCGAGGACAGCTCCTCCTCCCATATCACCGCCGCATCCATCGCGGCCAAGGTACCAACACAGAGAGGAGGAGAGGGGAGGGTCTACCGTTCTTTTAATTTGATCATTCCGTCCATTTCAGTCTGTCATTTTTGTCAAACAGATGTTAAAAGTCTCTCATGTGGCATTTTACATTACTCATTGCCAGTCACTAAATAAAGGTGTGAAACCAAATAAATGTAGTTTGTTTAAGAAAACGGTGAAATGAAACAGGCTCTGAGATCACAGAGACATCACCAAATTGATCACTGTGAGCTATGTGAAGTTTAGTTTTAATACTATGTCGGAAAGTACTTTTAAACTTTTCTTTCACATCTTCAAACAGACATGTTTCCTTCCGTTGCTTCAGCCGTGCATCATGTCAACTGCTGCAGTCAGATAACTTATTGTGACGCAACATGTCTCAGTCCTTATGTGGTCTGCAAAGTCCATTATGTGAAATGTAGCATCTAAAATTTAAGTTGATTTATTTATTTACTTTTTGCCAAAACACATTTTTACCAGTATGCGTGGTATGCTTTGCTTCATTTTACATTTTCAATGATCCTGGTCCAAATAAATACTCTTTTTTTATAGAACTTTTTTGGTAATTTTAGCAATCAGAAAGTTAAATATTGAACCAAAAATTGTTCAGTATTAGATCATATCATATACATCTGACTTTAGTGGAGTTTTATACAATGAAATGCAGGTTGCTTTGTGCTTATTGGATGCTTTACCAAGCCGACATTTATAAACTTTTAACACGTTTTGTTGTCCTGACTGTTGTGTTCCTGCATGCATTTTCACATTTATGTGTAACATTATGTCTTCATGTCACCTACTAACCCTGAGATACAATTTTTTTGTTGCACCACAATGAACTGGATGACTCTAGTTCACCTTATGTCATTGTTTTCACTGCTTTAACCTTCAATGTGATCTAAATGACAGACTAGGGTTTTTTGTTGTGCACACTTATTACGAGAGGACGTCTTCATGCCCTTCATCGTATCCTGTCCTGTCTGCAGCCTGGACCCCTCTTTATGGCTCTGTTGTCAGGGTAACATCCCACCTCATTGTCCAGATAAATATTGGTAAGACTCCACCACCCATTTCATTTGTCATCAACATGTCATTTCTTTATTAGCTTTTCATATTCATCATGTCCAACGTTGATAAATTAAAGACAGTGAAATATAGTTTGTGCACCTTTATACATTTTTGAGTCTGGATTACATAAATATCCATGTTTATCTCTTTAAACCCTCAATATTGGTATTGGTGTTACTGGTACTTGTGTTTATATGAAAGCCTGTCTATATCTGTGTGTGTATGATCTCAGATCCCAGACTCCATCATCTCACGGGGTGTGCAGGTGTTGCCCAGGGACGCAGCCTCTCTCAGCACCACGCCCTCCGAGTCGCCTCGCGCCCAGGCCACCTCCCGTCTCTCGACTGCTTCCTGTCCCACGCCCAAAGTGAGTTGTGAGACACTGACATACAAACTGAATCTTCTTGTTTTTGTTTTAGTAAAGGTTTAGATTTTTTTTATATTATTTTCCTTTACTGCTCCTTTTTAAAGAATTAGACCTAATTGGTGGCAGACAGTTTTCTGTTGTAAAAAATAAGTCATATTATTTTACTGGGTAAAAACGCCAAACAATATATCTCAACACAACTGGACTTGTGAAACAATAGTTTGAATGGCATGAAAATAAAATTTACCAAAGTTGTCATGGAGATCAATCTGTTGAAATGCAAGCTAGCAAGCTGTGGAAGTTTCCTTGTTCTTTGTGTGTGGGATTTGGTTGAAACAGCAGGTTGGGATTTAATGCTTGGATGTTAACATTATTATCCTTAACTTGTGTTGCAGTTTGTTTGCTTTTTACATGTATCCACACCATGGCTTTTATGGGATACTTGAACCTTTTTTTCAGTTTATGTACCTAATTTTCATTCATCGTCTTCTTGTGACTCTTTACTAAAGGTGCATACACAATTCTTCCTTAAAAGACAACAAACTGTAGTGTAAAATGTTGAAGTATCCTGCTTTGTTCTAACTAATCTCTCCTACAGGATTTTAAATTGTGAAAAAGCATCAGGGCTCTCCCGCTCCGTCTCCCTTTCCCGCTTTCTTTCACTTCATCTGTCGGTGTCACATCTCCATGTGCCTTCTGGACAGCAGGCAGGTGCCTTGGGAATGGAGGATGAGGTTGCTATGGAAACAAAAGGATGGGGTTTTAGAGGCGGAAGGAGAGAGGGTGGGAGGGCAAGTGTATAGACAGGTCATGCAACAGAGGGAGCAGCTAAGAGGAGCAGTCTGTGTTCTGCTGAGTCTTTGGGTAATTGTTATTCTACTATATCTGGGGTCTCAACCCATGGTTCTGGAGCCACATGTGGCTCTTCAGATCCTCTGAACTGGCCACTTGTAACTTTGACTAATAACAACATACAGTAAACCGTAGTAATTTGTTTATCATTTTTGACAGGACATAGGTAAGTTCAGCTTCCTGTGTGAACCTTTTTTTAAATTGAAATTGGGCATTATAAATACACTGTGTGCTCATCTTTATATCATTTTAGTACCAAAATTAGCTAAATATAGCTCAGATTGTTACTAAAATGTGTTTAAAATATGTGATTTGTTTTACTTGTCGATATCATAGTTTGTTTTTCTTATTTTGTTGCAACTTTCTTTATATACAGTAGAGTTGTTCTCCAAATTCACCAGAAAGTTTCTCTCTTTTACATGTAAGTGCAGAAATCTGAGTTTTGTGCATCTATTGGATATGTTCTTTGGCTATGACATTGTCTCCACACTGTTTCACTTGGATTTTAGTTGTCTTGTTGTGGCAGGATCGTTTTATTCTTGTTTAAAATTCATTTAGACAATAGCAAACACTGTAATAACTTCCATAGTGTGTTTTATGAGCTTAAAAATCAGAATCATAATCAGCTTTATTGTCATTGCACCGAAGCGCAACAAAATTACATTATCATTACGAAATGACCACCAAAGAAAATAAATTAGATTTAGTTTGTTTTTACCATCATACTGTAGCTGTTTCCTTTTTAGGTTTCTTATATGTAGTTGTGAAAGTAAAATGAAGCACATGGACAATTGTCCTGTATTTCGTTCTGTTTCTACAACTTCTCTAAACACCTTAAGCTGTTCTTTTCATCTGCTGTATGGTCTGCTTCCTGCTTGTTGTGATAACGGCCCATATCGAGTTGGAAGTGATTTTGATTTCAGCCGAGGTGCACAGAGGGAAGTAGTAAATAACTGGATGCTTGAATGCTGCTATTGGCTTTAGTGAAGCAGTGATTTCTTTGCCATAGCTTTCACGTACAAACAAGTTTTTCTCGATTCAGTCTGTCACAACACACAAGTCCACCACATTAGTGAGCATTTGTGTTTGACCTGAGTGTGTGGACTCGTGTATTTTTGTGAGTACTGACAAAGCAGATGGCTAACATACTTTAAAGGTGTACTGCTTTATTTGTTGAGATTCTCATGCAGGATTTTTCCCAGAGACAAGCTGCCATATGTTCCTTCAAATTCCCCCTTTGCAAGCAGCTGCCGACAGTGTGTACACTATGTCCCCTGAGCCATAATGGCGCTGCTCGCTGATGCTGTTTGTGTCATAGTGGCTTGTGCTAGTTTGTTATTTGGATTTTGTTGACAGCGTCTGTGCAGCGCCTTCAACAGCAGAGGGTATGAAGTAGGTCTAATCTTTTCTTTGCCAAAGCTAACGTCACGGTTTACGCAGCAAAACGCAACCAAGACGATCGTATGACAAATAAAGCATATAGAAATACACACAATGTCTGCATTAGCATTTCCAGCTTAAGGGTCATTTGTCGTTATGGCTCTGTGTGTGTGGCTGTTTTTGTTTATGGAAAAGGTAAGTGCATTAGCATAAATGATACCAGCATTTCTTGAAGGGATGCACACCACTCGTCACCATGCACACTAACGTTTTCCACAAAGACCTTGCTTACAGCACTTAGAGTACATGTTGGTGGTGACTCTGCCTCTAATAAACCAAATATCTGTAAAATGAACTGAGATGAAGCCGTTTGTGTTTACTAAAGGTGATTGTCTGTGGTGGATATCTCGAATCAGGTTAAAACTAAAAGTTAATCTTTCATACTTGTACATCCAATTGATACTTTCTGAAAGTTTTATGAAAACTTACCCACTATTTCAATAAATATTTTGCTTACAGACCAGATTTACTCCTATATTTGACTCCAAATTTTAAAACAGAAACCTTGCACAGTCTGGTAGTGCCTGAAGTATGTATTATAGATAACTCTTAGCTACTACCACGCTAAAATTCAACTCACTTTCTATAAGTTGACTGTTTTATAGCTATTTTTGAGCAGGCTAATGTTGGTTTCCTGTCGCAGCATGGCGTAATATAAGCAATGAAGGTAACTCTTTATTGGTATAGAATCACAGTTCATGTTGGTCTTTATCCCACATGCATGTTAAAGTCACATGCACTCATATGTTTACATGTGTTGAATGAGCTGTATTCCAACATTTTTCAGTCAGGTCATCTGGACAGTTTCTTTTTTGTGCTGAAACGTTTCGCCTTCGATCCGGAAGGCTTCATCAGTCAAGGAAACGCACAACACAGAACTGATTCGTCCCCCAACAGCTGCATTGTTTTTGTTGTGCACTTGTTAAACAAAGAGAACAGTCTCACAACTGATGTCCAAACCCATTTGTTTGCAAAGCCACAACTGAGAACACGCACATGCTGAGTAAATTTACACCCACACAATCATTCTTAAGGAAAAACGTGTTTCTCAGACATGTAATGTACACAAAGTCAACAACTGCAAGGAGGATTGCAATCTGAGCAGCTCAACAGACAACTCGTGTTCCCAGATTTTCTTTGCCTCTTCTGCAAACTCAGACAGATGCAGACAAGCATGCACCCATGCACAAGATTTACAGAGACTTGTTGTACCCTTCCACTCCTGTGAGCATTTATTACAGTTATGTAATTTTGTTTGGATTAATGAAGCACATGGGAGATGTTGCTCTGACCCAAAAGGACGGTAGGCAGTGTGTGTTTGGAGGTTTCTCTCCTGTTCCTGCTTTAGTTGTTGTCACCCGCTGCAAAAGGAGAAGGCGGGCGATTATGTTTGTTGCCCACGAGTGTGTTTGTTTGTATGTACTAGTAGCAAAATAACTCATGTTATGGTGTAATTGTAAATTGTTCTATAAAAGACAAGTTTTACTGAAGTAAAAGTGCAGGTATGGTAGAATAGTAAATAAAATGTCTCAGCTTTTAAAACAAGTAAACATAGGAAATGTCTATTTAGTTATCTTTGCTCTTATGTTCTTTGACAAACAGAAGTGGTCTAATGTCTTGAAAACGTGATTAGAAAAGTATTTCTTTTGTGCCAGGCCTGAACAAGAAAAAAAACATTTTAAAAAAAGTCTCATGCCCAGTCTGAAAGAGATGGGCTCAACTCATTTTTATGTGTCTTAAAAATTAGTTTCATTGTCTGCTTATTTGAGAATGTACCAATAAACCAGACTGTATGAGTGGTTCTTTAATTTGCTAATAAGAAATCAATATTTAAATTGAAACTATTTTTAAACTAGTGAATGAAATTATAAATATTTAATTCTCACCAGAGCTTTCATATTTATCACCTTTGATGTGTAACTGCATACCTTCTTTATCGTCATAGTAAAGCATACGCTTCAAAACATCTCATCGAGTTGACAGATGTTGTCATTTATTTTGATTAAAAGGTTTAATGTTCTCAGCCTCTTTCAGGTCCACATTCTGCAAAGGACAATGCATCATTTTGTTCTGGTTGTATTGTATTTTTTGAGGAATGGTTTTGAGTCAAGGTCAGGGCTTATGGAGATCCAGTCCTCACTCTTGATTGAACTGCAGGAAATAACAAACAGCTGAGTTATTAGACTCGGTCCGTGCCACTTCTATAAGCATCAGTGTTGACAGCTCGTTGTTATTCTTGTTGTTGACCAAAGCCAGAGTGGTATTTTTGTCTGTAAATATACTAATGATATATAAGAAAATAGAATTAGAAGATTTATTTTGCTAAGTAAAATGACATGCAGTTAAAAGAAAACATAATAAGTATACAGTAGTCCCTTGTTTATCGCGGGGGATCTGTACTCTGAAGCCCCACGATAAGTGAAAAACCGCAAAGTAGGAATATTAGTGCAAGTAGTAAGTAGTAGTTTATTTTAGTATATATATATATATTAAAGCATTTAAACCCTTCCCATACTCTTGCAATATTCTAAACAATGTTTCTAAACACAGAATGTCATGAAATCACCTCTCTGCCTCCAGTTGCTCTCAGCCACGCCCACTTCTCCGCTGCAGAGCGGAGATCGTGACACGCTGCAGGAGGAAGCTTCTCCTGCAGCTGAGGGCTGCGCACAGGTGCAGCAGGCGCTAAACAATTTTAAATATTTTAT